TCAGTCAAGGATTCAAATTTGGAAATGAATCACATAAAAGGGAACATCCCACCAAGTGGTTAAAACCTGACACCCATTGAGAAATGGGATTTCAGACTCTCCAGTGTCCTGGTGGCTCCTCCCAGCACAATGTTTTCCCACCCACTGCATCAAAATACTTCTTAAGTGAGATTTCTATACTCTGTGTTGCTGTAAAGTCTGGCTTCTGGCTTGGACAAGAAAGTTGTATAGCACCTGCTAAGCTGTTCTCAGCCTAAGGGATTAAATTATCGATATGCTTTTTTAAAAATTAAAAAAAATTGTTTCAGGTATAGAAAGCAACCCAGGTTGTAAAAACCTTTGTAGAAGTGAAATGCATAGAAACTTTGTAACCTGGAGCAGTCTTGACACTACATGAGCTACACTTGAGAAAGGGACTTCCTCTGGAATGTGAGAAGAAAAGGTTTAGAAACAAAGTTAAATGAAGATGGGAGCAGCATTGCACATAGAAGGGAGATCAAACGCTCCATAGAAAATATACGCGACGGTGCAATTGCCCTCTGGGAGTTACAGGATTATGAAAGTCTAACTTAATTAAAGGAGAAAATAGGTCACATTTAACAACCACATACGTGACACATCATTTTGACTATACAGAATAACTGAAAAGCAGAGAAAAATTTAAAAAATCAGAAATATAAGAAAGGCAACTACAAATGCATCAATCTCTTCTCCCCCGCCATCTAAGTCAGGTACGTGCTTTGATTTTGTATACATGAAAGATTCACCCTTCTTCTAATTTCCCTCTTTAAAAACACTTGCAGTATACTTGAAAAAGGAAGTTCAGATGTCAAAAGAAAGAAAAACAAAATGGCCCAATCTAAAATAAAGAAAATGAAAAGGAAGAAGTAGAACTGAATTAAGGGGCAATAAATATTCTTCTCTTCATAAAAATATACCTTACCTTGCATCCTCTTTCTTTTCTCCCCTACCTGTCATCAAATGACAGGTAATCAGGTACTTGTGAACCTGCATGGAATCTTCCCCCTTTCAGGGCTCGATGCCCCGGTGGGGTCGAGCTAATTACAGGTACATTTCCTCTGTCAGGCAGTCACACTCTGCACAGTTGAAGGCACAATTAATAATTGAACAAAGCTAGCTGGAGTTTTTTGCTCACTGGGCCACGGTGCAGGTAGCTTTGCTGTCAGACAAGGAGCTTCTTCTTTGGGTGTCTCTGAGAAAGGCTTTTCCATTATAGTCTGAAAAGAGTCACCCCGTTTTCAAATTTTGCAAAGCAGGAAATAATCCATGAAAACCAAAACTCAAAAAAGAAGACAAATCCTAGTTTCCTTTATAGAACAGTAGAGGCACATTCTTTCTCTTGTCACCAGGAACATGCTTATGATCAGATAGATGGTTATTTAGGTCAGATGTGAAAGAGATGACGACGAGTGGGCTTGGGAATTCACACCTGTCATAAGGGAGGACTGGAGTTTGTCCTTGAGTCTGTGAATGCAGCAGGGAGCTGGTTTTGCACGTGTCAGAATAGAATTTGACCCACAGAGGGGGTCTAGATAGCGGGTTACAGAAGAATCAAGTTCTTTCCCTTTAGGTATCCTTACGAACTTAATGGGCTAGACGTCCTTAGGAACTTAATGGGCGATATCCCCAAAGCCCCATGGGGTCAAAGGTGGGTGCAGAAAATCCTTGTCATGTGATCCAAGCTATAGTCTTGAACAAGGGTCTGTAAACTATACTGTAAAGGGCCAGGCAGAAAATACTTCGGGCTTTGGGATTTAAGACACCTTTGCTGCAACTACTCAACTCTGTTTTAGAACAAAAGGAGCCATAGCGAATATGAGTATGTCAATGAATGAGCATGGCTGCATTTCAATAAAACTTTATTTATGGGCACTGAAATTTGAATGTCATTTATTTTTTGCATGTCAAAAAGTAGAGTTCTCCTTTTGATTTTTTTCCAACCATTTAACCATTTGGAGACAGTTTGTAGCTTGCACGCGGTGTAAAAGTGGGGCTGGCTGGATTTGGCCCAGGGACTGCAGTGTGCTGACCCCTGGCTTGCATATTGGGAATCCCCGTGAAGGCACTTATTTTTCTAGTTGATTTTGAAGTCTATACGGTTCTGTGAGTGTATGTAAATGCTGCCTTTACTGTGAATGACCTGGCTTGCCCTCTGGTCTTTTGTTGACTTGAAACATCATGGATAACCAGATTATTCAGGATTCAAATCACATGTTCATCATCATGAAAAAGTTTACTAGAGTTAGCCACGAAGATCTAAATTTCTAGGTTTGGAAAGTTTGGAAAGGCCTTGAAACTCTGGTTCTATCTCATTATTTTTCTGAACTCAAAGGATAATAAAGAATATATCTTTGGGTTCAGGCCACTAATAGCATTTTTTTCCCTAAAAATAATCTAACAACAACAACAACAACAACAACAACAAAAACCCAAAACTATTTACCAGGCCATAGTGCAGCAAAATACATAAAATATTTTTATCAATGCAGTTCATTCCTTGCTTATAATTTGAATATAATCTATCTTCATTCTTCTCTTGTTCCACAAAATAAATTAAGAGATTATAAATAATATATTTATGCAGACATTTAAATTAATTATAGCAGGTGAGACAATATGAAAATAATGGTAAGAAAACAAGAAGAAACCAAGATTATGGTCTATATATGGATTTTATGCCATAAAACCCGGCACAGTTTGTGTAAAATCCACTTTGTTAACACTTTATATATGATTTCCTACATTCTTTTATAGATAGGCCATAAATTTGGCTGTAAGTTTGGTAACAATTAATAAAATGAAGGACTCTTGATCATTTATAAAAATCCACTGGGTTCAATTATAAGAAACAAACCATTGCTTAGAAAAAGGAGAGTAGAAGGATTGAAAGCAAAGAGGGATACTTTCACAGAGTCCTTGAAAAAGAAACTATGTTAATAAGATTAACAGTCTCTCAAAAGTAAACGCAATGATTTCAGAGGAGATCTTTTGTAATATTTTAAAATGTGGGCCAACAGCTTTTATACCAAATTGTTATTCAATGAAAGCAACTCTACTTGGAACAGGGGCAGGTGGTGTGGGACTTGGGGATCATATAATTCCATCCAAGTAGAATGTTCTCTGGAGGTTTAGTTTAATCCAGGGGAAAGGTATATGATATCCAGAGGTGCATACTTCAGGTTATCCTCCACATGTATTTTTCTCCATGTGAAGTATAAAACGGGTCTGAGAGGAAATGAGTTTGAGGTTGATCTCCCAAATAAGCACCTCACTTATTGTTTTCATATATTATAAATAAATGACAAGTTGCATAAATAATAAGGATGGGTACTGAGTACCATTTTCTTAAGAAAGTAGAATTCTCTAATAAGAATAGCTGCCTAAATAAGAGACCATTCCATAGGTTGGTCCAAACTTCACCTGATAAGTGAATTTGAGGGCTAACATGAAATGGAGGCCCATATTCTTACACCACAAAATGTAGAGTTTTTAAAAAGATCCTCTGATGAAACATGGCCCTGGTCTTTTAGAAGTATCTCAGGATAGCTTTCATTGTATGTCTAGTTTACATGACAATTTTTTTTTGTAGTGGTCATTCCAAAAGGAAAATGTTGTAAATTAAATCTCTACATACCTATATAAAGAAACTTTAAGAGAATATCAGACATAAATGTTAAAAGTTGGGGGCTAGCTACCAAAATAAATGACATTTTATAAGATTAATTGAACAGTAGCTCCTCTTAATAGAAAAATTAAATAGTAGGTCCCATTCTACAAAGATTGTGTCATTTTCAAAGGCATGGTTTTGCATATAAGAAAATATAATTTGTAGAGTAGAGCAGTATGTGTGTAATCCTTAATAATTTGGTAAAATATTTAAATGAAGTTCAAAAAGCAGCAGGGACTGAAAACCCAGTTACGGTGATGGTGGCAGGGAAGGGGAGGGGAGACATTCTTTGGCAATAACTTTGAGCTTTAGGGAATTATTTGCATCCATATCAGTCGGATCCATAATGAACTCCTGTAGCTTACTTAGTCCATGCCTGATGCCCTGCCACTGAACCAGATGCCAAGGAGAGGGCATTAGAAGTCACAAACAGTTCTGTGTTATTCCTGAAAGATTTGTTCACAAGGTCTGCATATTAGGGAACAATAGTTAAAAAGCAAAGCAAAACAAAAAATACGCAAAGAACTATGTAAATGTAATCCATACAAAACATTGCCCCGAGACACTCAAGCACAAAACCCACATACATTTTGGACATATATTAAGTCATTGAAGGCATTTAATGCTTCTAGATTTGTTGCTTTGGGGACAGTTCTATTGAAAATGAAATTAAAACAAAAATATATGTCTGTCCTATGGTTATAGACTTTATAGAGATGAGCACATTACTAAAGACCAGGGAGGACCCTAAATAGCCTCTTTGTCACAGTTCTTTTAGTGTTTTAATAAAAAGAGAGATGCTTGTTTTTCAGAACCAAACAGGTCTCAGAAGCATGAGGATATCTTAGGTAGTGTGTGGTGTGTTCGAGGCTGGAGGGTTGCTTACCAGTTGGCGTAAGGTGTCTCCAGGTGATAACAGGTTCGGGACGGCCATTGGCCATGCAGACCAGGGTCACGTTGCTGCCCTCATTCACAGTGACATCTGAGGAGATGTTGGAGATCTTTGGTGGGACTGCGAAGACAAAAACAAGTGGGATGTATAACTAGGTCAGCAAAACCAGGTTGGCAGCACTGTCCCATGCACCTGGAAGTAGCCGATTTAAGCTAAGTGCTTTGAGGACTTAAAACATTTGAATTCTTTTGTTAAGAATCCAGGGCGCTTCAGGAACTCCTTGGAGATTTCTGAGCAGGGAAAACGCATGAGTCTTACGAGAAGGTGAGAATCTTCCCACTACAGCCACGTGGTATAGGAAGTACACAGAGTAGTACAATGAAAATCTTTTAGCTCTTTGCAGGTCAGAATGGACCTTATGTGGGTATTAGAGAGCATGTCCATTTACACATAGTAAAAATAAACTTTTCTGGTAAGTGTTATCCACATTTATTTTCTTATGTGTATAAAATAAATATAGTTCAATCTTTCCTTCAAATGTCAGTTAAAAAAAGTGTTATTTAGTATAAGATTGCACGGTTGTGTTATTCAGATGTTGTGAAACCTGGTTACTTATAATCGAGCCACATGAGGAAACCATTGGTTAATCACTCCAATAGAAAGCCTCTCAATATCATCTTTGTGCGTGACAGCCCAGATATTGTACCTTAGAGCTTAAAAATTGAATTAATAAGGCTTATGTCACAGACAGGTAGCCATTACAAAAACACGTACTACTATTACTCCTAATACTCTCATCACCACTACTACTACCAATTTAATAATAACTAATTTTAGTTAAGCATTTAGCATACACAAGACCCTACATAGAATGCTTTACAAGTATCATCTCAATACCTCCTTTATAATAAGGAAATAATATACTATGAGGGTTTTATTTATGGGTGAGGAACTCAGGTACAGAGGGGGCTAGGTGAGCAGCAAAAATTAGATTGGAATCTAGGCAGACTCCAGGGCCCATGCTCTTAAGCGCTACTTGAATGAAACTTCATCTTCACAATCCAGGCTACCAGATGGCCCAAAATGACGAAAATTACTTTTTGGTGATGTGAGAAATGAGTCCCCACGGGCTAGCTGTGCTGCCGTCTGACTCCTTCATTAGCGTTCAGGGCGGCAACATTAGGTATCCTATTGGTAGGCTTAAGTGGAAAGTGAATTACTCATAAATTTCATCACAGACCTTATGCACTGATTACCAATAGCAGAGTTTATGGTTTGGCTGTGATTTTCCTTTTCTTACTGTTAGTTGCTTATGCCATCCCTGAAAAAGGATGCGTTGGGGAGAGAGAGGAGGGTAAGAGAGCATGAAGGGGCTCGATAAGAAAAGGGTCTTATTTTTTCTCACTATTCCTGCCCATTTGGAACTGTGTGGTGACCACAAAAAAACAAAACTACAAAACAAACAAACAAAAAACAACAGGAACGTACTCCGCTTACAGAGGCAGCGGCCTGACCACCATATAATCTCTGTAGATCCCTGTGAGGAAACCTTGGACATCTGACCAGGTCAGAGGGTCACAAGGAGGAAGCGGAGAGAGAACTCTTACCATCTTAACACTCGTCTCACAATGCCATCTGATATGGCCTCTGGATAGAAACCAGTGATTCCAAATCAAACCCAATGGTAGAAATAGAGTGTAGTTGCTTCCTATTATTCAGTAATGTCTATGTATAGGTTTTCTATTTTCCCTTTTATCTATTGGGGTTAAGGGTTGTTGTCTTCTATTCACACATTGACTTACGATATATGCTTCCAGACTTTTACAGTGAGGACCTGACAGGCTATACCCGTTTTATAGAGAAGAACATGAGGCACAAAGAAGAATAATGACTTGTCAGGAGTGATCCCAATAAGAGCTATGGCTGGGCTTAGAACTCAGAGCTCCTGAGTGTCCAGTTGTTCTGTTGTTTAATATTCACACTTTCTAATAACCAGCCGAGTAAGCCACCATTCTGAATATTTCCAAAAAAGTATAGTAAGATATAAATCTATGAAGATTTAGTCATCTTAGGTGCTTTCCTCAATAATCTAAAACCTGTAACAGGAAGCTACATAGAAATTAAAAGAGTTCACATTACTCAAGTGTAGTCAATTCTGAATTGCAAGAGGACGCAGCATGAAGAGAATACAGATATNTCATATATGCCCTTTCTCTGCCCAGGACACCCTTTCGTCCTCTGATTTCTTCACCAGTTTTTGTTCATCCTTGAGGTCTCAGCATATGCTCCCCTCAGGGAGCTTCGCTGGCCTGGCAGATTTGGCTATCTGGTCCTGTTTTATGGTCTTATTGGAGGCTATAATTTTCCTTTATACTGTGTAAATCTAATTAAGTGGTTATTCATTCAATTATTAGTTTATTGCTGTGCTTCCTTGTTGAACTCTTAGCTTCGCAGGACCATGTCTGTCTTGCTCTTCATTTTGCCCTTTTATAGAGTGAGCATTCTATAATTTTTTTTTTTTTTGCCAAAAAAACAAGCTGCGAGATGGAGATCAAGAATCATCTGAATTCTATATCGGTAGAGGACATATTATTAAAGTAATATGCAAGTAAGACAATGAAAAGAAAACAGAGCAAGGTTTTCCTTTATCTACTTTCCTGCTCTTAGTAAACTAACAATGGAAGAACTAAATAAAAGCAATGAATAGAACAGGTTCAACCATTATTCTCATTTAAATTGTCACTACATGGTCAAGAGCCTTTACCTGCAAAGTGTATAGGTTTGATTCTTCCATACCCATACACTACCAAGACTGACTCACAGAAGCTTCTGGAAGGTCCACACAAGAAAACCTCAGAGAAAGAATTCACTGAAACTTAAACTGTAGATAACAGACTCTCTGTGTGAAATCATACTAATAATTCCAATATGCTAACTGAAAAGAGTAGATGATAGTTACTTGAAACATGTACTTCTGGGATTCAACTTAAATGAGTTTATTTTAATATTTCTCCCCAACTTATGAGGGCATAGTCTAGGCTGGGCATACTAATAATTGGATGAGTATTAAAATTGGAAGACAGGTGAGGTTATAGCATTAATGGAGTTTAAGAGCACCTTCAGTCAAGGATTCAAATTTGGAAATGAATCACATAAAAGGGAACATCCCACCAAGTGGTTAAAACCTGACACCCATTGAGAAATGGGATTTCAGACTCTCCAGTGTCCTGGTGGCTCCTCCCAGCACAATGTTTTCCCACCCACTGCATCAAAATACTTCTTAAGTGAGATTTCTATACTCTGTGTTGCTGTAAAGTCTGGCTTCTGGCTTGGACAAGAAAGTTGTATAGCACCTGCTAAGCTGTTCTCAGCCTAAGGGATTAAATTATCAATATGCTTTTTTAAAAATTAAAAAAAATTGTTTCAGGTATAGAAAGCAACCCAGGCTGTAAAAACCTTTGTAGAAGTGAAATGCATAGAAACTTTGTAACCTGGAGCAGTCTTGACACTACATGAGCTACACTTGAGAAAGGGACTTCCTCTGGAATGTGAGAAGAAAAGGTTTAGAAACAAAGTTAAATGAAGATGGGAGCAGCATTGCACATAGAAGGGAGATCAAACGCTCCATAGAAAATATACGCGACGGTGCAATTGCCCTCTGGGAGTTACAGGATTATGAAAGTCTAACTTAATTAAAGGAGAAAATAGGTCACATTTAACAACCACATACGTGACACATCATTTTGACTATACAGAATAACTGAAAAGCAGAGAAAAATTTAAAAAATCAGAAATATAAGAAAGGCAACTACAAATGCATCAATCTCTTCTCCCCCGCCATCTAAGTCAGGTACGTGCTTTGATTTTGTATACATGAA